GGAAAGAGAGAAAGTACTTCCCCATGGGGCATAGTCATGCTGCAATCTCTTTTCCATTTCTCCATTCTGTCAGGATTTGGGGTGTGCACCCACCAGAGCCCAGTATGTTTCTCAAGTTTCCAAGTCCAGGACTCAAACCATGGTTGGCTATGTGGAATCTGACTTATTTAACCACCAGCCCAAGGGACAGCCAACAAGCAATTCTTATAAAGAACAAGGAAAACGTGCTTCAGAATTTTTTTCAATCCTTGTTTGCATGTGAAGCAGCTGGCAGCTTCCTCTTCTAATGGAAAGTAGGAATATAAAAGTATAATCTCTGGTCAGAATGCCCTCCGTTAAGAGGAAGGAATGTCCTCGGCAGGCCATCTTATCATGGCGCCATCAACTGAACATATCAGTTCTCAGAAGCATCACCCTTGTTCATGATGTTTTGTTGAACAAAGCGATTCAAACTCTTGAACAACCCTTAATATGGTTCTGTGGTCAATATTGCTGAGGTTGTTCTCCACATTCTTTGGCAATTTGATGTAGCTCATGTCTCAAAAAGGAGAGTGAATCACAGTTCTATTCTGTGTTTTGTACTTCTCTAATTAAGGGGAAAGATCTTCAAGTACAGCACCTTCACTGTTCTTTTCTCATGTACTAAGTTCTTTAATTTAAAGAGAACTGTCTTCTCTCTGAATCCAGGGTTTTTTGTCCCTGAAACTGCTAGACAAATCTTGATAGTATATACACAACTCAAAGAAGTCAGATCATGTTATAACTACCTCTCTTACACCACTCATTTGTTTTTGGAACTTTGGAATAAATTGCAACTGGTAGGGTCTTACTTGAATCAATGTTCATATTCCCACAAGCAATTTTTCAAGTATCCAAGTTTAAAAAAGACAAAAACAAACATATCTTTCTCAAACAGTACTCTGTGCTCTCTTTATAACTCTACTTTCTTTCCTCTGTCTTTGAGACTATCTATTTCCTGTGAGCCACCTCCTTGAAGAAGACTCTTGATATGAAATCCACCTTCAGGTCATTTTCTCAGGATGGAACTTGCTCTCCCTTCTGCTCTTCAAATACATTTCATATGGAACCAAAAATTCCTTATGTCAGCTTTCCATCTCTACATTGAACATAGAGTGCCCTAGGACTGTTTCAATAGGTAAAAGAGAAATTAAATTGAAAACAACAATAACATCATAACATTTTATACCAGTGATGGGTGATTCTTGAAATTGGTAATTGCTCCTAAAATTCAGTTATGCATTCAGCTCAATTTACGTACTGTCCTCAAAGAATGGAAACTCAAAGGGAGCAATTTAAACTTTGGTAACTCAAATATGATTAGTTGTAATCTAGTTATTTGAGAATAATCAACAATAGTAACCAACAAGAGAATACAACTCTAAAAAGCATATATACAGACAGTGGTTCAGCAGTAATACAACTGGACCCCCATGAGAAGGTTCCAGGTTTTTATCCTGAGGGCTCCCTGCACACACCATGCATATGTGTGTATCTCTGTGATTGGGGCTGGCTAAGGTTGGGGGTGGATCGTGGCTTGAGGACCTTGATGGGGAGCCTTTCTCTCTTTGTCTTTCTTATAGAAGAAATACATACACAAAGTTTTTTAAGCACACATAATTAGAAAAAAGTCAGTAGATCTTTGCTCTATTTAAAAGAATGATGTATGACTAATAATGGAGAGTAAGATGAGTCCAATAGCTTTTAATCCTTTCTGGATCAAGATAGGTACATGTAAATAAGAAAAAAATGAAGTCAGCATTGTTGTGCTGGGTTTTTGCCATCAGAACATACACTGGCAGCATGTGAACCTATCCAGTCACTTATTGCACAAGTTACTCCTTTTTAGATGAGTTATCTAATACATTCCAATTAAATCGTAATCACTGTGCACTGTAGTAACTGTAGTACCTTCTCAGTGTAAAAGACATAATGATTAGAAATATGGACTTTGAGGGAACCAGCAGTTAGTGTAATGGCTATGTCGCTGGACTCCCAAGTAGTCGACTGCAGTTCGCATCCCGGACCTGGTGGCTTAAAACTCACGCCAGGCGCGTGTGCATGTGTGCCCAAGATCCCGAGAGGAGAATGGAGGAGAAGTGATTGCGGCAAGACTATCCCCCCTAGGGGGTGATTTCTCACTTTCTGTCTCTATGTCTCTCTCTGTCTCTCTGTCTGTCTGGCGAGCGCACATGCCCTATAGTGAAAAACCTCTCCAAAAAAAAAGAAAGAAAAGAAAAAGAAATATGAACTTTGAAGTTAGACTGCCTGGGTTTACATCCCAGCTTTATCCCTTACAATTCTAGGTGCACTAGATGGACCTTGTTCATCTGCCTGATCCTAGATTTCATGAATGACATAAACAGACTTTCCAATACTCAAGGTTTTGCCAAAGTCTGCAACTAAAGTGTCCTGTCAGAGGTGCAGAGGGAGGGCAGAAAGGGAAACAGGAAATTTATTCCCTTGTTTCCTACCCTGCAAGTCTGCCATGAGCTGACAAGCATCTCCAACCAAAGACCACTGCTCCACTTGAGATGCAAGTTACAATTGGTTTTACACAACTCTCTCTCCTTCTGGGTTTTGCTAGCCGCTCTCATCCCTCATCTCTTCAGGCATGGGGATGATAACAGCTTGCCTGTTCCTCCATTAATGCCTCCATCAATAACTACAGCCACATTGGTAGTTGGCCTACTTCATAAATGAACCTCCCAAACTATTTTTCTATGTCATCTTTGTTCTGTTTGGACTCTCACTGATAAACAGTGTAACTCTGGATAAATAATTTAGCCTCTCCATGCCTCCAAGTAAAAAATGGGAATAATAATGGTAACTTGCTTTTTATAGATGTGAGGATTGAATGAGTTATTCATACATGGAAAAGGTTAAGAACAGTAGTTGGCATGTACTAAGCATAATATTTTTTATTTTTATCACCATCACCATTGCCACCATCATTATCACCATTATTATTAGGTAGCACCAGTGAATAGGGGCATTAGGTAGCAATAGTGAACAGCTAGCCATCTGGTTTCTAGCATGCTGAGTTGTTTGTGGAGAGCTATTTTTCAAGTAAGGACCCAAAGAAATCTGACAATCACTACAGAAAGTCGCTTAAGGGGAATACAGGAATGATTTAACAACACCAGGCAGTTAAGATAGATGGCCATTACTAGCAGTCCCAAAGGATTTTTTGTATTCAGTTGCTTGTTCTGCTTTTTCTCAAAGCCCTTTTGATGTATCTTATCCTAGGGTCATAGGCATTTTAGAGCTAAAAAAGACTCTAACTAGAAACATAACCCTTCATTTAGCACTTTATTCAGAAAAGAAAATGGATTTAACCAAAATAAACTTTTAAACCATTCAGATGCAGATCCTGCATAAGAAAAACAAGTGGGAAAAAATATTGAGGCCTTTTAGTCTTGCTCAAGGGACTCTCATCTAACCAGTTTTAGAGATTTATTTCTAAGTGAAGTTTCCAGAGACCAAGAAAGGATATTATTGTGTTCTCTCCCTAGGGACAGGAAATGGATCTTGTTTTAAAAAAAAAAAAAAAGCGGGAATGGATCTTAATTTAAAAAAAAAAAAAAAGAAGAAGAAGAAGAAGAAGAAAGAAAGACAGAAAAAAAATTTAAAAACAGAGAAAACGAAAGTCCCCCATCAATTCTGTAGACTGATTTACAATACCTATTAGGTTCAAGGAAATATTAGTTGCTATGTGTCCAAAGCATTTGACCAGGATTAATATACAACTCCAAGAGTGTTAGTAAATGGGGAAGGTGGAGACACCTCAAAAGAAGAAGGAAACTTCTAGGAGATTACATGTGTCTGAGTCAAATTGTGAAAGTCCCATTTCCTTGTGGGAATGAAGTGCTAAATCTATCTTTTAAAAATTGGAAACTTTGGGGACAAAGAAACTAAGTCTAAAACCCTAAATATTTCATTTCATTCCTCTGAGCCTCCATTTCCTGTAAAATGAGAGTGTTGAACTCAGTGGTCCCTGTGGTTCCTTCTTTATTTCTAGAACTCAGTGAATTTTAAATTGGATGTTACAAATATCAAAGAGCTCCCTGCTCAACCTCAGATTCTATTACAAAGAAACAGATGAAGGCTACACCTCACTTGTGAAAGGATCGAGGTTCCTTTTTGGTTTCTTTCCTTTTATTTGGTTTTCTTAACATCTCTAAGTGGACTTCTGATTCATAAATACAAAAATTCATTTTAAACTCACCCAATTGTTTTAAACTTCTCATGAACAAATTAAGCTAAAAGACATTGATTTATGAGTAGCATGCCGAAGACTGCTTCATAAATATGTTCAATTAGGAACCTCACTTGGAATACTGAACTAAAATTAAAAAGGATGAAAAGAGTTCAAGCAATATTAGAAGACTAGTCATTGGCTGGGAGACAATACTTGCATCACAATAACAAGCAAAGTGTCATTAGCTGGAACTTACATAAACTGCAAGTCAGCAAGAGAATGACAACCCAACAGAAAAACAGACCAAAGATGATGAATATTT